CTCTCTCTGAATAAATAAAATCTTAAAAAAAACCCCAAAAATAAACAAACAAAAAACCCCAAAACACATTGCCATGGTTCAAGACCAATTTTATTTGATTCGGTTCTTTCCTTCCCTTTTTTCTTCTTTTCTTGTTTACACACCCCTGTTTGGTCCCTTGCTCACTTGCTTGCTTTCTCACTGTGTACTTACTCAGCAAACATCACTAATGTTCTCTGTTAGGCTTTGCCTCTGCCCTGGGGGAGACAGAGGATCCAGGCCAGCGAGAAGTTGACGCGGGGGTGGGGTGGGGAGGCCACAGGTAGGGGCTGGGAGGCAATGTGGAACCTAGGGAAAAGGAGGTGAATTTTGCTAGGAAAAATCAAGGCACACCTCCTGGAGGAGGTATCTGTTCACTGGGCCTCCCAGTGGGGAAGGAAGGTGCTCCTCCCTCCAACTACTTCCTGCCCAGTCCCTCCCTTGAGCCCTATGATGGTGAGGGTGAGGATTCAGGTCCTACCCCAGAGGTGAGGAAAATGGCCCACGCTCATCTTGGGGAGACCGCTGAACGCAGAGGTGCAACTCCACCGAACGTGGGGTGCTAGTGGGGTGATGCTGAGCGATTTGTGATGGGCAGGGCTGCCTGGCTCAGATGTCCCGACCACAGCAGCACGTCATGGCACTCCCTGACTGTGGCCTGAGTCTTCCCCGGGCTGCCAGACCTTGTTTCCCCTCCCTGGGGGGAGTGTATAGATCTCTGTGGAGCCTCTAGGTGTAGGGAGTTCCGAACAGTCACCGTGAGTCACTGAGGCTAAGCGACTTCTACTTTTGGAGTCTTAGTTTCTGCATCAGCCTATTGGGGATGATGGTGTTACAGGGGTTGTGGGAGATTCAGAGATCACACGATGCCAGCTCCCCTATATTGAGCATTCACGATGTGCCTGGCCCTCCTCCCGGCAAGCTCTCAACCACCCTTGGAGACCTACTTTTTTTTTTTTTTAACATTTTTAAAAATTTTATTATGTTAGTCACCCACACAGTACATCATTAGTTTTTGATGTAGTGATCCACGATTCATTGTTTTCGTATAACACCCAGTGCTCCATGCAGTGCGTGCCCTCCTTAATACCCGTCACCGGGCTAACCCTTCCCCCCCCCCCCTCCCCTCTAGAACCCTCAGTTGGTTTCTCGGAGTCCACAGTCTCTCATGGTTCGTTCATCTCTCCCTCTGATTCCCTCCCCCTTCATTTTTCCCTTCCTTCTCCTAATGTCCTCCAGGCTATTCATTATGTTCCACAAATAAGTGAAGCCATATGATAACTGACTTTCTCTGCTTGACTTATTTCACTTAGCGTAATCTCCTCCAGTCCCATCCATGTTGATGTAAAAGTTGGGTATTCATCCTTTCTGATGGCTGAGTACTATTCCATTGTATATATGGACCACATCTTCATCCATTTGTCTGTTGAAGGGCATCTCAGCTCTTTCCACAGTTTGGCTATTGTGGACATTGCTGCTATGAGCATTGGGGTGCATACGGCCCTTCTTTTCACTACATCCGGTCTTTGGGGTAAATACCCAGGAGTGCAATTGCTGGGTCATAGGGTAGCTCTATTTTTAATTTTTTGCGGAACCTCCACACTGTTTTCCAAAGTGGCTGTACCAACTTGCATTCCCACCAACAGTGTATGGAGACCTACTTTTATTCCCATTTACCATATCAGGAAAAATGAAGCTCAGGGAGGTAAAGCCGCCTGCCCAAGATCACAAGCAAGACATTCGAGAGCTGAAATTCAAGCCTCTAGAGAAGAGGCAGCAACTTTTTTTTTTTTTCCTGAAATGGCCCAGAGAGAGTAAATATTTTGGGCTTTGTGGGCCAGTCTCTCTTGCAATACTCGACTCTGCCATGGTACTGCAAAGGCAACCATAGATGACGCGCAAATGAATGGGCATGGGGGCGGGGTGCCAAGAGAACTTTATTTGCTAAGTGAAGTAAGTCAAGCAAGGAAAGTCAATTATCATATGGTTTCACTTATTTGTGGAACATAAGGAAGAGCGTGGAGGACATCAGGAGAAGGAAGGGAAAAATGAAGGGGGGGAAATCAGAGGGAGAGATGAACCATGAGAGACTGTGGACTCTGAGAAACAAACTGAGGGTTCTAGAGGGGAGGGGGTGGGGGGATGGGTTAGCCTGGTGATGGGTATTAAAGAGGGCACATTCTGCGTGGAGCACTCGGTGTTATGCACAAACAATGAATCATGGAACACTACGTCAAAACCTAATGATGTAATGTGTGGTGATTAACATAGCATAATAAAAAAAGCAAAAAAAAAAGGAAATTTATTTGTGGACTCTGACATTTGAATTGCATATAATTTGCACATGCTGTGAAATCTTCTTTTGACGTTTCCCTGCCATTTAAAACCAGAAACAAACACAAAAATGTGTCGTTGGTGGACTGTACTTTGTTGACCTCTAGAGTCCATGCTGGTAACTGTCATGCTATATACTTCATTCATTCAGTGAATACTATTGAGGCTGGCAGTTTTCTCAGGCAGATGGAGATGCGACTCATCAGGAGATAACAATCTCCTGGGCAAAGCAAGCAAGGAAATAAAACTAACGAGCGTATTTCAGATGGTGGAAATGCTACCAAGGAAATCCCATGGGGCCATATAACCCAGACCCAAGGGCAGGACACTTTCATTTGGGTCCTTGGAGAAGGTGATGCCTTTGGTCTCCCAAGTACCTCTTTCTGCAATACACACACACACACACACACACACACACACACACACACACACACACACACATATATGTCATTGGAGGCAATCCCTGGCTATGGCTTGCTGTGGGGTAGGGCTTAATAGTAAACAGGCTGGCCCATGGCCTGTGAGCTTCTTGACAGAGTGATGCCATTGGGAGAGGACATTTTGGCCTCAGGATCGGTAAATCTTTCTTCTGGTTGGTCTGATTCCTAGGAGAGGGGTCTCTTACTGTCCCATTCCCCAGTCCTGGGTGCTGAGTGAGGGCGAGGGTTGGGGTGGGGGAAATTTCAGCTCCTGCATTTGTGGTCAGGGGTCTGCTTACCACTCCGTTCCCAGCGTGATTCTCCTACCCTCAGCTGGCTTCCTCTGCCCAGAAAGTGCCCTTTCGGCTCTCCAGAGGAAAAAGCAACTCTAGAAATGGCTGTTTTTCCGCCCTCTGCTGGGGAGAAAAGCTGGTGTCTCTTTTGGGGGATCTACTTGAAGCAAACTCCTCAATGTTAGCAGCCCATCCACCACACTCTCTTTTGGAGTTGGGAGGGGGTCACCCCCAGCCGGGGGGCCTTGGGGGTTGGCGATGGTGGAATTCTGCTACGGAGATGATATTTAGCTTCCTGCCCTGCTGGCTAACAATTTTGGTTTAGTTTTCAAACAATCGCTTAGCTGTCACCACAGTGGGGTTTCAGGAAAGAGTGCCAGTAGAATGTGGTGCTCGGCTCATCCTCTCTACCCACAGTGATGTTGGAACTGAAAGTGTCGCTGCCTGCCGGTCTGGGAAAGAACGTTCCAGCCAGCGGGATGGCAGGTGGAAAGGAACGACCCTGGTACAAGGCAGTGGCATCTCTAACTTAGGCGAGCATCAGAATCCCCGCCTAGAGGGCTTAACCACACATTGATTCCTGGGCTTCTCTGCTCCCAGAGTGTCAATAGGCCTAGTTTGCGGTGCTAGAATTTGCATAACTAACAAATCCCCAGGTGCTGCTGCCTGGCTAGTTTGCTAGGTCGGGTGTCACACTTCACGAACTGTTCAGATACAGGAAGCATTAGCACCTGTTAGCATCAACAACGGCCAGCATCATGACTGTTTGCTTCCGGTATTTCTCCAAGGAGGCCCAATACAACAAAATAGAACGCAGGGGAATCATCCCATAACGATTCCGTTGAACCTAAATCCGACCCCCCCCCCCCCCCCCCGCACCATTTCCTGGCTGCCATTGATGCAGTGCTGGGATCCCTTGCCCGGCCAGTGTCCACCTGGCCCGGCCCGGAGGAGCCGAGCTTCTGGAGGAGGCCAGGGCTTTCCCAGTGCGGCCTGTCTCTCAATATACCGTGGCTTCCTCTTTTGGGTCCGAGTTTTCGCCCCTGCTCTGCTCCTCCTCCCACGCCGCCTCCATCAGGGGAGAATGAACGGGAAATTTGAGTTTCCTCTGCTTTAGCCAAGACTGTCCCTTCCCTGTAAGGGGGATTTCTCTACCTGGACTCTCCAGCCTTCTGCTTGTGGGGTCCAGAAGGGGCCCCTGACGGGAAGCGTCCAGATGGGTGGGTGGGGGCAAGCCAGGGAAGGCCCAGGGCTCCCCGAGAAGGTGAGGGAGGGTGGCGGGAGAGGTGAGCTTGCCACTCAGGGTTCCAATTGGGGGTGGGGGGCTTATGCTCCAGAGAAGGGAGATGAGGCCTGGCTGTTCCCTGACCCCTCTGCAGATATGCTGGATTTAGGGGAGCGCTGGGGGAGCTCCAGTGATGGGGGTCTAGAGAGTGTCAAGAAAGAAGGGAAAGAGACGGACTGAGAGACTAAGAAATCGAAAATCAGAGAGTCCGAGACATCGAGAGACAGGGAGAGACACACAGAGAGAGACAGACGCACAGAAATAATGAGGCCGAGAGATGGAAAGAACCCCTGAGACCTCGTAGGTGAGAGTCCACAGAGACAAGGACAGATTAAGAGCGAGAGAGGCACACAGAGAAGAGGCGATGCAGAGTGTCGAAGAGACACCTAGAGAGACAGAGGCAGAGAGAGATAACCGGGGAGGGAGAGAACTAGGGACGAAGAGGAAACGGTGGGGGTAGGCCTTTGAGGGCGAGAAAGCAGATGGAAAGCGGAGAGAGATTCAGAGAAGAGAAAGTTAGGGAAACTTCAGACGGAAGGCGGAGAGGGCGGGGAGCCGGGATCCCCACCCGCTCCGCCCCGGAAAACGCGGCTTCCTGAGTTCTATAAAGCGCGGGGCCCCGGGCCGGGCTACAGCCGTCCGCCGCCGGCCATGTGCCCCCGCACCGACGCCTGCCCGGACCCCGAGGCCCAGCGGCCGCCCGCGCCCCCCGGCAGCGCCTGCCGCCCGCTGCCCTGGGCCCTGAGCGCCGCGCTGTTGCTGCTCGCCGGCACCGGCGCCGCCTGCGCGCTCCGCTGGGCCGCGCCCCGGGCCCCCGCCGTGCCCAGCCCCGGGCTCCCCGAGCTCCTGCCCGACGCCCGCGCCCGCCTCCCCGACTCTCCGCAGGTGAGATGCGCCCGGAATCCCTTCTCCCACCCGGGCCCCCGAGAGCACCCCTTCTTTATCCAGGACTTCGGGGGGCACACCCGTGAGACCCCATCTGCGTCCCGGGCCCCGGAAGGTAACCCTTTCTCCATCGCGGACCCCGAGGGCTCTTCTTTAACTCCAACCGTAAGGGGGACTCCATGTTCTTTACTGACTCCCGGAGAACCTCGCTTTTTTGCCCGCGCCCTTGGGGTCTCCCCGTTTCCTTCCCAAGGGCCCTTGGAAGGACTCGCTCCTCTTGTCTCTGCAGAATCACGGGGTTCTGCCCTTGCAGACTCCAAGGGTTGGGGGACGTTGAGTCACCAGCTTTGGGTGCTCGTGTATGCTAGTGTGTTCATTTGGAGCAGGGGGGAGGGCTCAAGGCCTGCACAGACCCCGGGGACCCCCACTTTCCAGGGGGCTGCGGCAGCGGGAGGGGGAACCTCCGTCCACTTTCCGCCTTTCCTCTCTCCGCAGGGCGTGTTCGCGCAGCTGGTGGCCCGAGATGGTGAGTGTCCCGCGGCCATGCCCCTGGGGCGCACGTGGGCGGAGGAATCCCGGGACAGGGGGGCCTCCTCCCCCTCCATCTGACCCTCTTCCCCTCCTCTCTGAAAGCTGTCCCCTCACCTTTTTGAACCTCCTCTGTCTTCCTGACCTTCCTATAACCCTGTCCGGGTGCCGGCTCTTCCTCCTCTGACCCCCCAAACGTACCCACCTCAGGCTCCCTCCGGCCCCTCCCCCGGCCCCCACCCCCCCCCAGACCTGGGGCTGGATCCCACAGATCCCACCTGCTCTTGTCTCTCCCGCTGGGCTCTGGGAGGTATGGCCCCCCTCTTCCCTCCCTCCCCCATCTCCGCTCGGTCTTCTCCCCCTTCCTGAGACTCTCCCTTCCACCTCCTCCCCCGCCAATCCACTTCCTTCCCTCCCCACCTTGCTCTCCCCAGTCAGACTGCCCCTTCCACCTTGGGCATCGTTTCCCCTCCTCCGGCTTCCTTCCGCCTCCCTCACCAACTTCACCTCCCTCTCAAAACCTCTCCCTTCTGAGACCTCTGTCCCTCTCGGGCTCAGAGCCCCAGCTCCTCCTCCCCAGGGCTGCACCCCTGCTCCACAGCCTTGCTCTTCTTCCTCCCTCAGTACGGCTGACCGAAGGGCCCCTGCACTGGTACAGTGACCCGGGCCTGGCAGGCGTGTTCCTGGGGCCGGGCCTGAGTTACGACAAGCACACTGGGGAGCTGATGGTGGCCGAACCCGGGGTCTACTATGTTTTCCTGCACCTGAAGCTGCAGCGGGTGGTGTCCCACGAAGGCTCCGGCTCAGTCTCCGCTGCCCTGCATCTGCGGCCGCTTGGTGCCGCGGCTGCAGCCCCTGCTCTGACCTTGGACCTGCCTCCTCCATCCTCAGAGGCCCGTGACTCCGCAGCTGGTTTCCAGGGCAGCCTGCTGCACCTGGGCGCCGGCCAGCGCCTGGGTGTTCACCTGCGGGCTGAGGCGGGGGTGCACCTCGCCTGGCAGCTCGCACAGGGTGCCACCATCTTGGGCCTCTTCAGAGTGGCCACCAAAGTCCCCACTGGACTCCCCTCCTCGTGGCCCATTGACACGGGGCCTGGCTCCGGGCCCCTGGACCGAGAATGAATGCTGCCTTCTTTCACTGGGGCTCTTGGTTGACGGACGCCCCAGCGACTCTACCTCACCTGGCTTGGCAGGGGTCCCCGCTGCTGACCCACTCCTCGAGGACTCTCCAAGTCACTCTCCCATCCTGCCCCAAGTCGAACTTCTGGTATTTATTCTGAGCCTGAGCTCAACAGTGTACTTTATATTAATCCATTCCATTTATATTTATTGACCATCTGCTGTAGGCAAGGCCCTGTGCAGGGCTGGTGAAACATCAGCAAACAAAACAGATTTAAAAAAAATTTTATTTATGTTAATATGTGTGGAATAAAGACTCATCCCCAGCCCTGCTCTGGCATTCAGGGGGCTAGTCTTCGGGGGTCCGTGTGACTATGATGTGTGAGCTTCATTCACGCAAGTTGTTCTGGGCAACTCCTTTGTATCAGGCACTGTTTTAGGTGTTGGGGACACAGCTATGAACAAGACAGACAGACAGCCCAGCTTTTGCCACGCTGGCCATCAGGTATGCCTGCTTGGCACTAGGACTATGATTGTGTGTGACCCCATGTGACTGGACCACATGGGAGAGTGTGTGATGGATGGTGCGTGGTATTGGATGATACAATACTTATAAAACTATTGACCGCGAAGTATTGAATCTTCACTGTATGTCAGACAGCATGAGGTATCTATTTGAGACATAACAACCCTATGCTTTTGGGACTTCATTCCCATTTTGTCATTCTCTCTGCTGGTGACGTGACCTGCTTGTATCTGCGTGGTGGAAGTACTGCGTCCGTTCTGAAGGACCTCGTTTGCCAACTCTGTTTGGTGACCTCATGCTGGGAACTTAAAATTGGCCATGGGCATCTGCAAATGCTTCAGGTTGGCTTCATGTTATTGTGTGTGGATCACCTATTTAAGACAGTGATGGAGAAAGTGTGGATTAAACATGTAGATTAAACTCGAAAGTGTGTCTAGTCTTGAGCTGTGACGTTGTGAAGAGCACGTGAGAAATTGAGGAAGTATTTAAATGTCTTGTGTTTTCAGACCATTATCTGCTTTAGCAAAGAAGTTGCTCAAGATGACTGACAAACAAGTGAGGTGGGGACATCTTTGTTGTTCCAGTTCATCTTAGTCTTTAAAGGAACATTCCAACCTTGTCGCCTGGAGCCATACATGGCTATGGGTACCAGCGTGGGAAAAATCCAAGACTGCATTCTGTAAGCGTTGACAATGCAATTTGCAATGGAGAGTACTTTATAGGGACACCTGGGTGGCTCAGTTGGTTAAGCATCTGACTCTTGATTTCAAATCAGGTCATGATCTCAGAGGTGTGGGATCTGTGTCCGCTGTGCGCTCAGTGGGGAGTCTGCTTGGGATTCTCTCTCTCCCTCTGCTCCTTCCCCTGCTCATGTGCACATGTGTAAGTGCTGTCTCTCAAATAACTAAATAATTCTTTTTTAAAAAAAGGAGAGTATTTTATATGTTTTTTGTAGATACATGCTGCACATTTTTGCCAACAAAATTTATAATAGACGCACATACTCGTTTTTCCCCCTCTGGAGAGCCGGTTGTTAGACATTTGCTATACACCCCTGTCTCCAGACCAGCCAGTCCCCCCAGCACCATAATTTCCCCACCATGCAGATCTGCCGGCTGGTCCATATAAACCAGCTGGATCTTGGTTTCTTACATAGGACAAAAGGGGCTGGGGTGGGCAGAGAAGTCTTCACAGAGCAGTTGACCTAGATGGGCCTTAGGAGGAAGGACGGGAACAAGGGAGGCAGAGGTGGAACATTGGTCCACACTGGCCAGACAGGAGGGTGTGGGATGGGCTGTGAAGATGCGGATGTGGAAGTGAACGCCTTTTGTCTGACCCATCTCTACCCCTTCTCAGGGTTCCTCCTGAGTGTGCAGGACTGGCACTGAGCTGACACCCGTGAGTGTCACCTTGATTGGGAATTAAATTATTGACCTAGTTCTAGGGGCGCCTGGCTGGCTCAGTTAGAAGAGTGTGCGACCCTTGATCTCAGGGTTGTAAGTTCAAGTCCCACGTTGGGTGTCGAGGTTACTAAAAAAAAAAAAATAATAATAATAATAATAAATAAACTTTAAAAAACCCACAAAAAACAAATAAACTGTTCCATTCTAGTTGGTTGTCCCGTGAAAAGGAAGTATGTGCAAAATGACAAATCCTAAGGAGCTGTAAGATAGAAGAAAAAGGCCTATGAGTGCAGCTTGATGAGAAATGGTTTATTAAGGGGACTTACAGACAGAAACCTGTTTTGAGTGGCTGCAAGAGGAGCAGGTCCCTGAAACCCCCACCTCCTGTCAGACCTGCTAGACGCTGGGAGTCGTGGGGTAGGGGCGGGACGAGGGCACTCAGGAGGAGAATATTTGAGAATAGGTGTGTCACAGTCATGTCTCCAGAGCAGATCAAGGACCCAGGATACTCAAGGATGTGGTTAAGTAAAAGGGGAAGGATGTGTGTGGGGGTGCTGTGCTCAAGAAGGCTTCAGGTCAGAGAGGTCTTGGTGGCCATCTGTCCAAGATGGCTTCGGTCTGGTTCACATATTGGCAAAAGCCTGTTACTCCCCCCCACCCCATTACTAGATGCTTGCTCTGGACTTCCAAGATGGCCTTTGCCATCCAAAACCTTGCACTTGGTTCACCTCCAGGGTTGTGGGGGGGAAGGGTGCTCCTCAGAACTCTTGGTCCAGGGACCAGCGACAGGCTAACCTAGTTGTTGCCTATTTTGAATAGCACCAGGTGATGCCAGTCCTCCAGTGCAGCTGACTGGGCCAGGACGGACACATGACTCAAGCTGGGCCAGTCAGATCTCCTCCACAGGAATAGGGGCAGGCCTGGCTCTACGAACTGTTCTGGTCAGGAATTGGAAGCTGTATGTGACAGAAACATGGAGGGAAGCGTGTGCAAGAGAGAGAGGGGGGGCGGGGGAGGAGGAAGATGTGTGGGGATTCACAGATGAGACCATAGAGCCCTAGAGAGACAGAGGAGCTACTAACGTTTCCTACTTGCCTCTTCCTGGTGCGGTGGGATACCCTAGTGCCTTAGTTTCCCAGGGTTGCTCTCACAAAGTACCATAGAGGCACCTGGGTGGCTCAGTGGGTTGAGCCACTGACTCTTGATCTCAGCCCAGGTGTTGATCTCAGGGCCGTGAGTTCAAGCCCCACCTTGGGCTCCAAGCTGGGCGTGGAGCCTACTTAAAACAAACCAAAAACAAAGTACCATAAACTGGGTGGCTTAGAGCACCAGATAATTATTTTCCACCAGTCCTGGAGGCCAGAAGTCCAAAATCGAAGTGTTGGCAGGGCCATGCTCTCTCCAGAGGCTCTAGGGAAGACTCCTTCCCTGCCTCTTCCAGCTTCTGGTGGATGGCGTTCCTTTCCTGGCTTCGGCATTACCCCCATCTCTGCCTCCCTTGTAGCACGGCTTTTCCTTCTGTGCATCTCCTCTGCTTCTCTTCTCCTCTTCCTATAAAGACACTGCTCATATTGGATATAATGCTCAGATGACTCCAGTATAACCTCATCTTAATTTAACTACTTACATCTGCAAAGACGCTATCTCCAAATAAGGTCAATATTCTGAGGTTCCGGGAAGGGCATGAAAAAAACATTTTTTGGGGGGGGACACTATTCAACCCAGTACATTTAGTATCTGCCCTTGAGGGCTATGAGAAACTTGAGTGTCCTTCCATGAATTTCCTTCTGGGGTGGGTTCTGTTCCATGCTGCCCAAGGATGCAGGCCCTCAAGGCTGTCGGTGGCTTTCTTGGTAGTTTTGGGATCTGAGATTCTGTCCCACTTCCTGGGTTATTTGGGTTTGGGAGTGTCCCACAGCAAGGATACTTGGGTCCTCTAATGTTGTCAGATGTTACTAAGACCCAAGGTACACAGATGGAATTCTACAATAGTGACAGGAATTATAACTGATGTTTATTAATGCTTACTGGTCCCAGGCACTAATTGCTTTGCAAAGACTCCAACAGGAGGTGCTATTTTATTTTCATTCCCATTTTACAGGCAAAGAAATTAAGGCCCAGGGGGCACCTGGGTGGCTCAGTTGGTTAAGCGACTGCCTTCGGCTCAGGTCATGATCCTGGAGTCCCGGGATCGAGTCCCGCATCGGGCTCCCTGCTCGGCGGGGAGTCTGCTTCTCCCTCTGACCCTCCCCCCTCTCATGAGCTCTCTCTCTCTCTATCTCATTCTCTCTCTCAAATAAATAAATAAAAAATCTCTTAAAAAAAAAAAAAGAAATTAAGGCCCAGGGAGGTTAGTCCAAGGTCACACAGCCAATAACAGGTAGAGTGGTCGACAGTGCGAGTTGTAGAGCCAGTCTTCCTGGAACCCTGGTCACTTCCTTTTTTTAAAAGATTCATTTATGTATTTGACAGAGAGAGAGAGAGAGAGAGAGAGGGAGAGCACAAGCAGGTGGAGCGGCAAGCAGAGGGAGAGGGAGAAGCAGGCTCCCCCCGAGCAGGGAACCTGATGTGGGGCTCCATCTTAGGAACCTGAGATCATGACCCAAGCTAAAGGCAGACACCAAACAGACTGAGCCACTCAGGTGCCCCCCCACCGTCACTTCCAAGCGAGCTTATAGAATACAGAAAAGTTTGGGCTGAATTGTGTGCCCCCCCAATTCATATGTGGAAGCCCTAACCCCCAGGACCTCAGAATGTGACTGTATTTGGAGATAGAGTCTTTACAGAAGTAATTATGTTAAAATGAGGTTGTTAGGTTGGGCCCTAATCCAATATTATGGGCGTCCTTGTAAAAAGGGAAATTTGGAGATAGACCTGTGTGCATACACACACACACAGAAAATGCCATGTGATTGTGAAGAAGGATATCTACAAATCGAGGAGGGTCAGACCTGGAACAGACTCCTCCCTTACAGCCCCAGAAAGAACCAATCCTGACAACACTTTGATTTTGGACTCCTGGCCTCCAGAACTGTGAGAGAATAAACATCTTGTTTCAGGCACTCAGTTTGTGGTACTTTGTTGTGACAGCCCCAGCAGACCTAATACAGATGGTTGTAGGAGTTGATGCATTGAATACACACTCAATACACAGTGCCAGGCTCTTGGTAAGCACTCAATACATTTCACGCCAACATACACATAGAATTCTACAGTGTCCCATGGGCGTGTAACAAAGAAACAACAATTCACAGGAGAGAGGTTACAATGACACATCTGTGATGTCACAAAGACACCCTTGCCAAGATAGGGGTCACAAAGTTACAAAGGCAATTTTGGAAACATGTGGTGTTATAAAAACAATCACAGATTCATAATCCTGCATCCAGAACCATAAAATCCCCAAACAGAAAAATTTTCACAGCTCCTTTAGCAGCCCAAATGGATTGAACCCATGTGAAGGTGTTTATGGTCTTTATTTATTCCTTAGCTCAAATATGCATATAATAAGGATGTTAATATGCTTGATTATTGGGGACTGTCCCAGAAGCCCCTGGTGGGAGGTAATATATGTGTACTTTAGCATGAGTCCCCTTCAGTACATACTTATGATATAATATATATAAGTAACATATATGGTATATGAGTCTGATTCATTACTCACAAAAAACACTTCACTTCTGTCTCTTCTGGTCACCAAATCTGTGGAGACGTTTCCCGACACCAACAAGCAATTCTCAGCCACCAGCCAGGTGTCCAAGGATCCAACTCAGCTCTGACACTACCTACCCAGACAGGGCGTCAGATCCCACAGTTTAAGTGCTCAGTTTCCACAAAACTGTCTCCCCCCTTCCCTGCTTCAAATGCCAGTCACAAATTTAAGTTGTCACCTGTGCCTCTGATCAACCAGTGCTAGGTGGCAAGTTGCAATGATCTCTTCCTTGGGTTCGATTAATTTGCTAGAGCTGTTCCTAGAATTCAGGGAAACACGTTTACCAGTTTATTAAAAGATGTGCTAAGGGCT